CTGCAGCCAGGTGAGCCCCAGCGGGGGTGTCCGATGCCGCACCGTCGCTCGGATCCGCAGGGGTAGGCTTCGAAGTGGTCGCAGCGATGCGACAGCAGCGGTCGACGTGCTTCCCAAACGCGAACGCATGGTCCGCGCCACAGGCCACTTACGCTGCCGCACAGCCGAAGCCAGAGGCGGGTGGCGCCCCCGACCTAGACTGCAATCTGCCGAACGAACTAGAGCACACGCGAGTGAGTCTCAGCCGCTCGAATGAGGTCCGCCGGCCTGAACGGAGCAGCCAAGGATCTCCAGACTTTCTCCCCGCGCCCCCCAAAACCGCTCACCAGAAGCCGCTCCAGCGAAGGGCCACTGGCAGGTGCAGCTGGCCTCGGAGGACTCCACGAGGCCTCCAGGAGCCCTCTGGCCGGCGAGGCGGGCGGGGAGGTGCGGGGATCGAAGCAATTCTGCAGGAGGGAACGTCGAGAACCGCAGCGCCGTCTAGGGCCGCCCCCCTCGGGGCCCACGAGGCTGGAGAGCAGGAGCTCCCAGAACACAGTTTGAACGGTGTTCACAGCCCGCCCTGCCCAGCGGCCAAGGAGCAAGGGAGGAGGATGCACAAAGGAAGTAGGGAGGGGGGAGGTAGAGGAAGGAAAGAAGCAAGGAGATCATGTGGAGGGCAGCCCCAATACCCGGGCTCTCGCGCGGGAAGGGGGATGGGCGCCCAGACCGCGGCGCCTCGCCGAAGAAGTGCCCGCAAGTCCCGATGGTGGCCACGGGTGCGCCTTTCCGGCCCCGCCCGCCGATCGCGCCGCTGCCGCCGTCGCCCACGTCGTCGCCGTCCGGGAGGGGGGGCTGAAGAGGAACGACAGTGCGATAGGGAGGGTCAGCACATGGTGACCTCCTCCTCCTCCTCCTCCTCCTCCTCCTCCTCCTCCTCATACCTCCTCCGTTCCTCCGCCCATCCAACCTCCTCCTCCTCCTTCTCCTCCCTCCTCACGCTTTCTCCTCTTCCTCCTCCTCCTCCTCCTCCTCCTCCTCCTCCTCCTCCTCCTCCTCCTCCTCCTCCTCTTCCTCCACCTCCACCTCCACCTCCACCTCCACCTCCACCTCCACCTCCTCCTCCTCCTCCTTTTCCCTCCTCCTCCTCCTCATCCTCCTCCTGCCCTCCAACCTCGACCCCCAGTCTTCCTCCACAACTCTCTCTCCTCCTTCTCCTCCTCCACCTCATTTTCCTCCTCCTACTCCACATCCTCCTCCTCCTACTCCTGCTGCTCCTACTCATCCTACTCCTCCTCCGCCTCCTCATCCAACATCGAAGCCCCCTCCCCCCTCCTGCTCCTCTGCCTCTTCCTGCCCCCCAGTGAAGACGGCAGCAAGCAAGCGTAAGCTTTCGGAAGTCGTCGCAGACCTCCGAAAGCTCATACTTACATACCCCATGCGGGTTGACTGTGGGAGCTCGACCCCCAGAAACCCTCCGCAAGAGACCTAATGACCCAACCCTGAGACCCCAGGACGTCCATTGATTTCTGGCGTGGGGACGACACGCTCTCCATAGCGAAGCCATCGGAACCCAAGAAACCCCGTGCGCCCTGGAGGCAAGCAGGGCGTTTCTTGGCATGGGTTTCCACTCGAAGCCCCCGACAGCGAGGCCACACGCGCCTGGCCGGGGGAAGCAGTCGGCCCCATTGTCGGCAAGGAATGGGCAACTGGGGGGCCGACGCGCCCCTCCCAAGCCCATCCCCGCCGAACGTGGCCCCCGAGGGATGAGACGCGAAGAGACGAGGAGGAGCCTGAGCACGGAGCGGGTCAGGAGGCTTCGGGAAGGTGGAGCGGTCCGAGGAGGAGAGGGAAGCATGGGGCAGGCTGGCGCCCGAAGACGCGTTTCGACGAGCAGGCTCGGGCGACACGCGAGGCCGCAGGCGTCCCGACGTGGCGCCCCACTTGATCGTGCACCTTCGGCAACTGCGCGATGCGGCGCGCAGCCGGAGCGGCGAATGCAGCCCGTGCTGGGACGCACAGAGACATACTAATACTGTATGTCCTCCTTGGAGGCGCGCGTCCGACCCGAACATATAGTATACCCATCTTTTGACAGATCTGTTCCCGAAGAGTGCGGCCAGAAAGCGCCCGCCACGACGCATGTACCAGAAGATTTCTCGGTGCGCGCGTCGCCCCTGGGAGGGCGACGCACATATAGTATACTAGAACCAGGCGCGCCCTTCGCGCGCGCGCTTAAGCTCTAGTCGGTTCCGAAGACGGTGTCTATTTCCATGGGACCTTTTCCATGTGGTCTTCCGGGTTCCTCCCTTTCACCCATGCGTGATTGTCGGGCGGATACGGCGAAGTTCAAGGAAGGGTTTGGCCTGTCGCGTACCAGCGACGACCGACGACCACGACGACGACGGACCACCGACGATCAGCAGCATTGTCACCTAGTATAAGTATGTTGAGGTGACGCCGATGTGATGCTCCCGACGCAGCGCAGGCTGCCGAGGAGCCGCAGCTCGCCCCAAGATGTGCACTCGAGGTGCGAGGCGCATCTCGTCCTCGGGAAGGAGGAGCGAGGTGTCACCTAAGTTCACGCTTCGCGCGGCGAGAAGCGCGATATTCTTCCCGATCTCTCGCGCTGCCGACGGCCTTGGATCGCGAAGAACGCGAATCGCGAAGAACGATCATCTTCGCGACATCGCGGGTGATCCAGGCAACCAGGTAGGAGGATGGCAAGGGTGAGGGGGTGAGGGGAAGAAGGGAGGCCAGAAGGGGGGATGGGGGGGGAGAAACATAAAAGGGGGAAGAGGGTGAAGAGGAATAGGAAAAGGAGCAGAGGAAGCAAGAGCAGAGTGAAGAATGTTGAGATCAGGGAGCCTGATGGGACGGGGAGAGACCCGGCCCGAACCGTTCTTCATGATGTCGACCTCCCCAGAGAAAAGGATTGCCATCTTGCTGGCGCGGTTGTTCTCCTGAGATCCCGAGGCTCCCTCAAGGCACACTGGCACCCTTGCCGCTCAGCCCCGCATCCTCCAATTGTCTATCCGCCTTCTCCCAATCACGCGTGCTCATCTACCTCCTCCTCCCCTCAACTTTTGTCGTTGTATATTTTGTGTTGTGTGCTTCACAGTCGGGCGCTGTATCTTCTGCTTCACAGTCGCGTTGTGCTCTGCACTTGTACCTCACAGTCGTGATGCGCTCCTTTTTCCGCTGCGCGCCATCGTAACCTTGAGGGTTTGTATAACTAGTGGCAGGTGCACCACCAAGCACGGGTCCAATAGTGATCCGGATGCTTTTGCCAACGCGTCTCATTGATGCATGGCTTCTGACTACCACTGCCCCCACCCCATCCTCCAACCTCTTTCCACCACCCTCTCCTCTCCACGAGTTCACCCACCGCCCTCCTCACTCTTCTCGCTCTCCCCTCCTCCCCCAACTTCCGTCTACTCCCTGTGCCTTTTCTTCCTCCCCCTCAACCTTTCTTTTGCCCCCCTCCCGCCACAAGTTTCCCCTCCCCAGTTCCAACTCACCACTATATTCTTCCATTATCCCTCCCTCTCCTTCCCCTCCCCAGTTCCAACTCACCACTATATTCTTCCATTCTCCCTCCCTCTCCTCCACATTCCACCCGCTCAATAGTGCCACCCACCCAGCGCCTTCCGCACCATCCTCCGCCGTTGACCTCCCAAATGTCTTTCCTCCTCGATTCCTTTTCCTGATAAATAACTCCTCCCTCTCGCACCCTGAGGCTGGTCGAAAGGGCGGGCTGGGCGTTTCGCGTGAGACTTCCTCATCATTCATGTCTCTCAAAGTAGAGAATCCCACCAGCCCTTTAGAGCATAGGTGGTCTAGGGCCGGCTCCTCTTCCAACCCCTTTCTTCCCAATCGGGGAGGGATTTATCACTGTTCCTTATTAATATACATCCCCTCCCCAGGCGACCGGGCCAACCAGGCACCATGACAACACCATGAGGACAACATGACGACCCGCCCCCCACCATCAGTCAACAAAAAACAATACAAAATTCACTGTGCCTCCACACTTGGAGCATGCGCGCTTTATGCGCTCCACCCCCCACCATCTCTGTCCAAAAACAATACAAATTACACTTTGGGCCCAATTCTCGAGTCATGTTCATGAGGCCAGCGAGCATTTTGTATTGTTTTGACAATGACGGCGGGGGTGTCAGCATACTCCCTGCTGCGCACAGGGCCCGTGACAAAGAATCAATACAACATGCACCTCGCGGAGAAATCTGAATCATACGCGGTCATTCCGCGATCACTGTCAAGTGGTTCTCGACAGGGACGGCGGGGGGAGTTGGGAGTGGCGCGTGGCCTGCTGTGCACAGGCCCAGCAGACACAATGACAGGCATGGGTGTTCGACAAGGATGGGCCGACATGTGTCCCGATGTGTGCTGCCACGTGCGCAGGCGCACCTGACGCACCCTGCAAGTGCCCCGAACGCGGCGCACCTGGCGCGGCGGGAGTGTGCGGCACACCTGGCGCACGTGGAGCACATGGCGCACCTGGCGCACCAGGCGTGCCTGGCACGCTCGGGCGCTGGGGCCCCAGGGGTAACCCTGTGCCGATGATAAAAAAGGACCCCCCCCCTTACAGGCAAGAGTTGATGATCCACGGCCAAGATGAGTTTGGTCAGGAGCGCGGGGCGCGGAGGCCGAACTTTTTTTATCACTGTGAAAAGTTCACCATCGAGGTGAACGTCCTTCTCATGTTGAGATAGCAACATCAAGCGGAGCGAAAACCTTTTCGAGGATGTCTCAAGCGAAACCAACAATGTTTGGAGGCAGCCTCAAGCGAAACGATCAATATGTCAAGGATGTCTCAAGCGGACCCAACAATTCTTCGTGGATGTCTCAAGCGAAGCGAGAGACTTGTCGATGAGAGACTTCCTCCTCCTCCTCCTCTTCCTCCTCCTCCTCTCTCGCTTTCTTTTGTTTGTTTCTCTCTCTCTCTCTCTCGCTCCCCCTCTTTCTCTCTCTCTCTCTCTCTCTATATCTCTCTATCTCTCTCTCTCTCTGTCTCTGTCTCTCTCTCTCTCTCTGTCTTTCTCCTTCTCCCCCTGGCCCCCTGAACTGTTTTATCGCTGTGGTTTACTTTCCACAGAGACCGAGGCACATGAGGCACCCTACACGAGCAGATGGAAATCTGAATTTCCATTGTTTGTTTACACATTAAATTTACTAGGTTTGGAACTTTGGCTTTTCTCCTCCTCCTCTTCCTCCTTCTCCTCCTCATCCTCCTCTCTCTCTCCTTCTGTCTGTCTATCTTTCTCTGCTTCTCTCCCTCTCTCTGTCCAACTATATGTACATGTCTGTCTCTGTCTCTATCGGTCTCCCTCCTTCTCCCCCTGGCACCCTGAACTTTTTTTATCGCTGTGGTTTACTATCCACGAAAACCGAGGCACGTGAGCTACCCTACACTGCAGATGAAAATCTGAATTTCCATTGTTCGTTTACAAATTAAATGTAATATGTTTGGAACGTTGGCGTTATTCTTCCCCCTCCTCCTCCTCCTCCTCCTCCTCCTCCTCCTCCTCCTCCTCCTCCTCCTCCTCCTCCTCCTCCTCTCCTTCTGTCTATATTTCTCTACTTCTCTCTCTCTCTCTCTCTCTCTAACTATATGTATCTTTCTGTCTCTGTCTCTCTCTGTCTTCCTCCTTCTCCCCCTGGCACCCTGGACCTCGATCCTCGATCATCGATCTTCGACCCTCGGACCTCGATCTTCGATCCTCGGACCTCGCCACCGTCGATCCTCGGACCTCGATCCTCGACTCTGGGATCTCGATCCTCGATCCTCGGACTTCGATTCTGAAACCTCGATCCTCGGCTTTCGGTCCTCTTAACATCACCTCTTTCTCCTCCCACATGCTGGCCTCTGGTAAGCAACATTAATGATCCCCCCGCGACCCCGAACTTTATTATCCATGTGGGATTATTATCCGCCGCACAGGGTTACCAGGCGAGCGTGGCGCCCCTGGCACGCGTGGCGCACCTCGCCCCGGCGTCGCGCACCTGGGGTCGGCTTTGGTTCCCAATAGCTGTCCATCTAAAGACGACCGCTGAACATGCTGAGCCTCGGGTGTTACTCATGTGTAGGGAGGGCGGGTGGGAGTGAGCTGGACGGCTTGCGGGCGGGCGTGTAGCTTGACCCCTCCCCCTACCCCCTCCCCTGGACCTGGAAAGGGGGGGTCGCTGGTAGTTGTAGCGTTCAAGATGGCCCAAGACGGCTCCAAGAGCGCCTCGGAGAGCCCAAGATGAGCTCCAATATAGCTCAAGATGCCTCAAGATGGCTCCGAAGATGCTCTGAAAGGCTCCAAGACCGCCCCAAGGCGGCTCCAAGAGGCCTCCGAGACCTCCAAGGAGGCCTCCAAGAGGCCAAAATCCTTCAAAACGTATGGAAAAACAATGATTTGTGCATCGTCGCCCATTCGCTTTCGATGCCGTTCGAGGCCTCAAGATGGCTCCGAGATGGCCCAAGAGGGCCCAAGAGGGCCCCAAGAGAGGCCCAAGAGAACCCCAAGACAGCCCCAAGGGCGCCCAAGAGCGCCCCAAGAGCGCTCCAAGATCGCCACACGAGACCATTTTGGAGGCTCCTGAGGGGCAGCGCTAATTGAGGAACCCCTCTTTTTTGATAGATGTCCTCCAAGATGCCTCCAAGAGCGTCCCCAAGGCTCCCAAGAGCGCCCCACCGCCACTGTGGCCTTTGGTGGGGCTCCCTATGCGGCCACGAAGCGCTGTGTTGGGTGGGGGGCACGCATGCGAACACCGCCGCTGAAGCCTTCGGTGGAGCTCCCTCTGTGGCCACGAAACGCTGTACTGGGTTAGGGGAATCGCATGCGGACACCGCCACTAGGGCCTTCGGTGGAGCTCCCTATGGGGCCACGAAACGTTGTACTGGGTGGGGGAAATAAAGGCAGACACAGCCACTAGGGCCTTCGGTGGAGACCCCTATGAGACCACGAAACGCTGTACTGGTTGGGGAAAGGCGTGCGACGCATGCCACTGGGGCCTTCCGTGGAGCTCCCTTAGGCCGCGAAACGTGTGAGGGGCGTGCCAAAGTGGAGGGGAGGAGGCACGCGAACGCAGCCACTGGGGCCTTCGGTGGAGCACCATACTGGGCCACGAAACGTGTGAGTGATGTGCCAATGTGAACCGGTAGCGGCATGTGAACGCATCCGCTTGAGCCTCCGGTGGAGCTCCCAATGGGGCCACGAAACATGTAAGGGGTGTGCCAAAGTGGACAGGAGGCGGCACGTGAACGCAGCCACTGGGGCTTTCGGTGGAGCTCCCCATTGAACCACGAAACGTTTGAGGGGTGTGAGCCAAAAGTGGACAGGTGGCGGCATGTGAACGCAAACACTGGGGCCTTGGGTGGAGCTCCCCAGTATTGGGCCAGGGAACGTATGATGGGTGTGCCAAAGTGGACACGAGGCGGCATGTGAACGCAGCCACTGGGGCCTTCGGTGGAGCTCCATATGGGGTCACGAGACGTGGAAGAGGTGGGCCGAAGAAGACAGGTGGCGGCATGTGAACGCAGCCACTGGGGACTTCGGTGGAGCTCCATATGGGGCCACGAAACATTTGAGGGGTGTGCCAAAAGTGGACAGGTGGCGGCACGTGAACGCAGCCACTGGGGCCTTCGGTGAAGCTCCCTCGTATGGGGCAACCAACGAAACGTGTGAGTGGTGTGCTAAAGTGGACAGGAGGCGGCACGTGAACGCAGCCACTGGGGCTTTCGGTGGAGCTCAGCATGGGGTCACGAAACGTGTGAAGGGTGGGCCAGAGTAGACAGGTGGCGAAATGTGAACGCAACCACTGGGACCTTCGGTGGAGCTCCCTAGTATTGGGCCACGAAACGTGTGAGGGGTGGGCCACAGTGGAGGGGAGGCGGCACGCGAGCGCAGCCACTGGGGCCTTCGGTGGACCTCCTTATGAGGTTCCGACACGTGTAAGGGGTGTGCCAAAGTGGAGGGGAGGCGACATGTGAACGCAGCCACTGAGGACTTCGGTGAAACGTGAGGTGCGGGCCAAAGTGAACAGGAGGCGGCACGTGAACGCAGCCACTGGACTTTCGGTGGACCTCAGCATGGGGTCACGAAACGTGTGAAGGGTGGGCCAGAGTAGACAGGTGGCGAAATGTGAACGCAACCACTGGGGCCTTCGGCGGAGCTCCCTATTTTTGGGCAACGAAACGTGTGACGAGTGTGCCAAAGTGGACAGGTGGCGGCATGTGAACGCAGCCACTGGGGCCTTCGGTGAAGCTCCCTCGTATGGGGCAACTAACGAAACGTGTGAGGGGTGGGCCAAAGTGGACAGGTGGCGACATGTAAACGCAGCCCCTGGGGCCTTCGGTGGAGCTCCCCATGGGGCCACGAAACGTGTGCGGGGTGGGCCAAAAGTGGACAGGTGGCGGCATGTGGACGCGGCCCCTGGGGCTTTGGTTGGAGCTCCCTATGGGGCCACGAAACGTGTGAGGGGTGTGCCAAAGTGGACAGGAGCGGCACGTGAACGCAGCCACTGGGGCCTTCGGTGGAGCCCCCTATGGAACCACGAGACGTGTGAGGGGTGGGCCAGCGCAGTCCCTGGGGCCAGGGGGACGATCCCTATGGGGCCACGAAGCGTGTGACGGGAGGAGGGAGGAGGGGGAGGAGTAGAGGAGGGAAGGCAAAGGAGGAGGAGAAGGAGGAGGAGGAGAAGGACGCGGGGCACCGTTTTTTCAAAACGAAGACCCAACACCACAGGATGGTTGGGAATCATCAATTTCAACCTGTCGCATCCGAGGTCATTTTGAGGCTGCACCGTCGCCGAATATCCCGGCTATAAAGAACTTGACAGCACGCCCTCTTCCACGCTCTCACTCACCAACAGCCTTCAAAAGCTTCCCCTCGCTCGAGCTCCCCGACCGCGCGCGGCGCCTTGAAGATCAGCTCCCCAGGCTTGAAGATGCGGAACTCCATGTCGGTTGCGATTCGCTTGACCTCCCCCCACCTCCCCCCCAGTCATCTGAGCACGGGGAAGCGCCAGGGAGGGGTCCCCCCCTCTCGCTCGAGACATCCCCCATCCCCCGCTCGAGGACGCATCGTGGACCCCGTCGCTGGAGGTGCCCCCCCCTGGTCTTGGTGGTGGTGTCGCCTCACCTTCCTCCGACCACAGTCGGGGATGGACAGAAACCCCTTTAGCAAAACGTGATTTAGTGAAAACGACCTCGGGCCCAAACCTGGCGGGCGCAAGCCTGGAAGATGACGGCCGCGGCGCCCTCTCGAGGACCGAAAACGGACAATTCACTAATCGACGTATCAGGATGGGGGTTCTGTCCACCCCCGACACAAAAAAAGATCCCCAGAGAGCATCCGGCAAGACGCGACGACCGGGAACACGGGCACGACCCAACCGTGGCAGCAAGCCCCCGGCCCTCCCTCCGGAGTCCAGCACATAGGAGGGCGCGCGTCGTTTCGGGGGCGCTCTTCGCCGTGGAAGAGGAGCACCTGCTGGGGCCCCTGCTGGACCTGTGATGGGGGAGGAGGAGGAGGAGGAGGAGGAGGAGGAGGAGGAGGAGGAGGAGGAGGAGGAGGAGGAGGAGGGAGGAGGAGGACGAGGAGGAGGAGGAGGAGGAGGAGGAGGAGGAGGAGGAGGGAGTGTGTTGCAGCATTGTGGATGCATCCTGGATGTACTCTGGTCCTCCTCCGCATCCTCCCCTTCCTCCTGAGCGGCCCGTCCGCACGCTGCACTCTCTCTCTCTCTCTCTCTCTCTCTCCCGAATCCCTTCGCCCCGTGTCCCGCCAGCTCGTGGCTGTACCGCATGAAGAATCCTCCAGTCTGCATGGTCTCCAGCAGGCACGGCATCACCATACGGCGAGTGTCCTGCGGAGGAAGAGGAGAAAGAGGAAGCACCCGGAGCAGGAGGCCGGAAGAGAGAGAGGCGCGCGCGTCGACATGCTCCAGAGAGGCGTCGAGTGATTCCCTGGCATCTCCCTGCGACGATGTTCGTGGGCTTCTGGGGTTCTTTGGGGGGAGGGGGGGTCATGACCGTTTCCTATAGGTTGCCGAATGATCTCCGTCTGCTGCACCGGAGGTCACTCCACCAAAAAACCTTCCACGAGAAGCCCAACCCTGAGACCCCAGGACGTCCACTGGGTTCTGGTGTGAGAACGTCACGCTTGACACAGCAAAACCCTCGAAATCCAAGAAACCCAATGCACCCTGGAGGCAAGCAGGGTGTTTCTTGGCATGGGCCTCCACTGTATTTGCTGTAGGTTGCCGAATAGTCTCCGTCTGCTATCTAAGCGGCGCGGAGGGCGACTGCACCCACACTCCTCCCTCACCGGGGCCAAGAAACAGAGGCAGGCGGATAGAACAGGGGGGACGTAATTTGGCAGCGAGCGAAGGGAAATGAGGAGGAGAAGGCCTTCTCAAAAGGTTCGAAGTCCCCCAGCCTTCTGAGGAATGTTCTAAGCCTTCCCTAAGACAGAAAACAAATTCTCGGAAGGCGCGATGAGTTCTGAGAAATCCCGCCGCCTTCTGAGAAGGCCTTCTCATGTTCACTTCCTCACCTCGCTCGCACCCGAGTAATGCACATGCACCAGCGCAAGACGATCGAGAGTTGCGACGATTGACGTCTGGGAACCACTTTCGGACAGCTTCTCGCCCTGACAGCTCCCCAGAGGCGGCTCTCAGAAGCTGACGCGGATCGGCCGCGTGCGTCCACCAGGCCCCCACTCCTCTGACGGACGGCGCCTGGAGAACGACGGGGAGGAGGAGGGGAGCCCCGCCCTGGCATCTGGGCAGAATACCGCTTGAATGAACGGAGCTTGGATCCTCCCCTGGAGCCTCGGGCATCTAGCGTGATGGAAACACATGCGCATACTTACGTTTGACCGTCGCGGCCACGCGCGCGGCGGTCAAGTGGAGTCGAGGTTCAGAGCAGAGCGGAACGCGCGGACACACACACACACACACATACACATACACACACACACACACACACACACGCACACACACACACAAACGCGCGCACATACACACACACACACACGGACGACGTCACGAAAGCCCAGAAGGGGAACCCGAATGCCATCTTCGTGCAGGATCCGCAGAACAGGATCGATTCGAGAGGACCGATATGGAGCAGGGTCGCTCGTCGCGTTGTCCTCATTTCCTGATGCCGCGTGCGATGACCGGCGCCCCCTGGCGAGGCGACGCGGATCAACCATGATCTTGTGGCCAGGGAGTACGAAGATGCATGGCATATAACCGCGAGCAGACTTCCGCCAACGCTCTGCAAGACATGCATCACGGCGAAGCTAGCAAATATCCTTATTTTCACAAGGGCGTTCCTGCGAGGCCCGTACAGCTAAAAGTGGGCACATGTTTTGGGGCGCTTCCCCCTCAGGGCGATGCCTGAGGCAGCCTCAGGCCCCTTTCACGAGGTGCCCTTACGGAGGTCCTTTGATAAAGGCCTGGCTTGTTTGGGAGGTCTCCCAAGTGGGGCCGGGGTTGAAAGGATCGGAGGATCGCACCGCTTTGCAGATGCATCGGCGGTACTTCACGACCTGGATCCGAATGCTGTCCAACTGAATTGTTTTTCGTCGGCGGCGAGGCGGGGCAATCCGGTCCTGCGTGGCAGCGATGCACGGGCACTACAAAGTCACTACAAAGCGAATTGGCCCGCACGCAGGAGGAGAGAGGAAGAAAGACGGGGCGGCCGCGGGTTGGGGGGAGGGCGAGCACTACGACACTACGAGGCGGAAGACTCCCGCCGTGAGCAGCCAGTGCGGCCCGCGGGCGGTGGGGACGGCGTCCGGGGGGCCGGAGCGCAGGCCAGGCAGACCGCGTCAGCAGGCGCGAGGCGCCGGGCAAGGGGAAACAGTGCAAGCGCCCGTGGACTGCCTCGAGCAAGATGCTTCATGTGTGTTCTTCAGCTTGCCGTGCGATGCACACGCATTCGCGTGGGCGCCGGTGGACGGCGCGTCCGGGCGTCCAGAGGGGCAGCACGGGCGCGGCGGCAGCGAGCCAGAGCTGCGGGGCGGCGGCGCCATGGCGGCCGGAGGGAGGGGGGAGCAATCCAACTGAGACACGTCATAGACAGAAACATCTGGGGATCCGCGCGGATTTCCAGGGTCGGCACCGACCCTCCCGGCGGCGCCTCTGGCGACCCCCCTGGCGCGCTCCGCGCGCCAGGGATCGGGCTCCAGCGGGGAAGAAGGGCCACGACGACGGCCCCACCTGATCGGCGGAGGCTCGCGGGGCAAACCTGCACCGGGCGACCATCATCTGGGTGACCCCGCGCGCATCGTCGCGCCCCGCGGCGCTCGACGCGTGCTCCTCCGCGCGCCCGCGTGCCCCCGCCCCGCCCCCGTCGAAAGAGAGGGGGGGGGCAGCCGCGCTGGCCCAGACCGCGACCCGCGCGAACCCCGCTGGCCTGCGCGCCCCCGTGGGTGACCCAGCAGGTCACTTGGGGCGCTCCAAGCAACGGCCTTGCCTTCGAGGATCGAAGGAGTTGCCATCTC